ATCTTAACTTTTGTGACCGTTTATTGGTTCAATTGTTTGAAAAAAGAATATCACATTTCATAATGTGACATGAAAGGTTACTGAAAGTAAGTTAAGAATCATTACCTTTATTTCAAACTTTGCTTTAATTCATAACTCCTTTTTATCCTGGGAGCGTAGGTCATGGTCATATTAAGCAAGTAATGGTCATAAAAATGTAGTAATGGTCATATTAATGTAGTAATGGTAATATTAAGGAAGTAATGGTCATTATAATGTATTAATGGTCATATTAATGTAGCAATGGTCATATTAAGGAAATAATGGTCATATTAATGTAGTAATGGTAATATTAAGGAAGTAATGGTCATATTAATGTAGTAATGGTCATATTAACGTAGCAATTGTCATATTAAGGAAGTAATGGTCATATTAATGTAGTAATGGTCATATTAAGGAAGTAATGGTCATATTAATGTAGTAATGGTCATATTAATGTAGCAATGGTCATATTAAGGAAGTAATGGTCATATTAATGAAGCAATGGTCACATTACGGAAGTAATGGTCATATTAATGTAGTAATGGTCATATTAAGGAAGCAATGGTCATAAAAGTAATGGCCATATTAAACAATTAATGGTTATGTTATGGAAGTCAGGGTGATATTGATGTAGTCATAGTCATATTAGGCATATAATGATCGTATTAAGGAATTAATGGTCATATTAATGTAGTAATGGTCATATAAGCAATGGTCATGTTAAGCAAGTAATGGTCAATAAGGCAGTAATGGTCATAAAAGCAATGGTTATATTATGGACGTAATGGTCGTATTAAAGGAGTAATGGTCATATTAAGGAAATAGTGGTTATATTTAAGAGATAATGGTCATGTAAGTAATGGTCATGTTAAGCAAGCAATGGTCGTATTAATGTAGTAATGGTCAAATAAGTAATTGTCATATTATGGACGTAATGGTCGTACTGAGGAAGTTATGATCATAATAAGAGATAATGATCATATTAAACAAATAATGGCCATATTAAGGCAGTAATTGTCATATAAGTAATGGTCATGTTAAGCAAGTAATGGTCATTTTAAGCAAGTCAAATGCTTTCCTCGTATCCTATGCAAACATTCATTCTGGCTATAAATGGAAGAGATTTGTGGAAGAAAGCGATGCGTATATTTACGAGACCTATCATACGTAGAGAGGAATGAAACAAACTGGGCACAACCTTTTTCGTTGTCAGTCCAGACTTTAAAAATATCTTAGTTGTGCTATGATAGAAACATAGTGATCAAACAACCATTGGATTGAAACCAGGAAAAATGCCATCCAGCCTCCGAACATTTGGCTTCACAAAATATTGGAAAAAAATCTACGTTAGTCAGGAAACGAACATTAATAACAAACATAAAGATAAGAATGAAAGAAAAATGAAAGAAATTAAGAAAGATGATTTAATGGATAAAAGGATGGAGTGAAAGATAAAAAGATCGATAGGTTATATACAAACATTGGGATAAATAGGTAGACATAGAAAGAGAAAAATAATTAATAATGAATAATTAACGATTTTTTGAACTGTATGATACATAACGATGAATACATACCAGAAAAACTGTAATAACATCAATACACTATGTTAAGAATTGCTATTCAAATAAAAAGAATGTAACGAATGTTGGGCAAAATTATCTTGTTGTTAAAGCTACATGGTACAATCTAAATAATAGGTATAATAACGCATTCGTAATTAAAATTCCTTCCATTCAATATATCTAATTTTTTCGTCTTACAGAGTATTTATATGTAACATTTAGTAGAATTAAACTAGAATGAAAAAGAGCTCAGCCTTTCGATAAGCTAGACCACGTGACTGCCATATATGTATTTGTTTCCAATGATGAATCATTTGCTTGTATGTCGTGATTTATTGTTTCCTAGGTACCTTTTTAAAAGTTGACCTAAACCGACGAAATATGAAAATAAACGTCAACTTGCTGCTTATCTGTATCAATAAATGAAGAAGATGACAAATATTTATCAAATATAAACACGTGGGTCACGAGGAAAAGGACAACTCATTTGCAAATATGAACACCAAGTCAAAATGAAATGGACAAATATTTTACAAATGTTAACACCAGAGCCAAGAAGAAAAGCAGAACTAAGGGCGTTTCTATACCAGTCTGGCACACCACATAATAGGCAAATTGCCTATTATTATTTGCAGTAAATTATTGGTCTCACATGATTGCATAACAGACAAAAAGGTCAGTGCGATATGTGGAGGTACATACACTCGCGCCTAATTAAGTTCGTTCTTGGATGAAAACACAAAAAAACAAGCGTAGACCACGTGCTCATTTCTTCCTAATGTCAGTTGCCAACGACTTTTGAGATACATAAAACTTGTTCGACCTTTTAAAAATGTTTCATATGTCTACATGGATCTCATGACATATCCCGGTACTGTTAAAATGTAAATAGATAACAATCAGGGAAAGAATGAACGGTTTTTCTGTATAGCTTGTCTGTTCTCTCTACGTTTGTTTGAGATTGCTTCTGCTAAGTCAGTACCCATATTTAGTCACATGAACTTTTTTTTACAATTAGCCTGGAAATAACGTGATTGCTTTTTAAACAGTGTGTGTAATTTAGATTTGTAACGTAGCTTTAACAATTTGTCAGTCATATAGCTATGATGTTTTACAGTGTGACAATTTACACTGATGTTTAGCAGACATGTAGCATGATGTCCCATGTAGACACATTATCTTGACACCAAGACGAACAGTCCTAACACTAACCTCTTAATGCTGAGCACCGTGCGAGGCGACCGTTTGTACCATTTTTAAAAGTTTTTGGTATGACTCGGCCGGGTCTTGAACCCGCATCAGAGGCGGACGCTCTACCACTAGGCCACTGGAGCGGTCTGCCTATTAAACAACATATACAATAAGGTATATTATTACAAGCTGTATTTGTTTAAATTGTATATTTTGTGTATTATTTAGGTTGGTACCCGTGCTCTGCAGAACTTAATATACCCGATTTAAAATAATTTAAAAAAAATTACTTGACTGCGTTATTCACTTCCTTAAATGCACATCAGATACAATCGTGCTAATGCTAGTTACTGCAAACAGTCTTGATTTCCATATTTGTGTTTGAACGAATTTAATATTTTCTTCCATGACAATTCGTTTTGTAATATAACAGGCTGAACTATAGGATAGTATCGTGTTTTGGTGTTTATCGATGCTTAGTGGACTATCAAACACGGTTTTATAGCCCGGATCGAGCGAATGTTAAAATTAAAGTTACGGATGGAATAAATTTAGATCAGAGGAGAGATACTAAATAGAACAACAGAAGCCCTGTGTACAGAATACAATAATTTATTCATCTGGATTAAAGAAGAAAAAAAATTACGAGACTAATTGCCGGATACACCTCTACCAGAAAAGATAAGAAATCAATTAACCCCGAGTTCTCAAATGCCCTTTGCTGCTCCGTGTGTATTGTTACAGCACGAAAGCAGTGAGTATCTAGACCTTTAATTGTTGGGCATGTCTTTTATAATCTGATAACTTGCTGCTGTTTACTCTCCAGAATTGGTATAGCTTGTCGGTTGGGGTCAACTTGAACTTTCCCTCTTGTCTAATTATGCATTCCACCACCTCGACTGGCCTCTCTTAGTGTTTTAGTATCTTTTACTGGTAGTTCAATCTTTTTTATTTAGGTAAGAATGTGATTTCTCTCTATCGTTCATGATTCTTATTGTTTCCCTTTAGCAGAACTGTTTCCTTACACCCCTGATTGCGTGTCTCTCATAGAATCTCAACAAAACATATTTTGGTCAACCTTTACAAGGATCTCGTCATCCATCACCGAAAACTTTTTAAATTTATTTTAAAGCAAAAATGTTTATTCAGCTAACTTGAGTTATGATAAAATATAATGACCGTAATGTATGGATGTTTGGATATTAGATTTATGAAACTTAAGGGCAATGATTTTCTTTCGTTTCCTTCACATTGGATTTTGTTTTATTTTGTTTGGGGGATGTCTTTTTCGTCGTTTTGTTTTGAATGTTCCTTTTTGTTTGTATTTTTAGTAAGACGTTTCAAACACAGAAAACTCAGCAAATTAAATTTCTCTCGTATCTGACAGATATTTCTGTTGACAAATATTTATGTTATACTTTAGTAAGTTTTACGTCAATGAAGAGGAACCCTCAGCTCTGATATCCAACTCTTATTTATAAGCAGGTAGCAAGCCTATGTCTTTAAATAATCCAAAGCCATGCGGACCTAAATAAATGCAGGGACACATAGACGCGTACTAAAATACTAACTGTCCCATAGTAACTAGTTCAACAATTGACTTGCTATTATGCTGCTATACTCAACACGTCAACATTTGCTAGTTGATAAAGAAACCTTCTCATATTTCATTATTACATGACAGCATACGATTGCCATAACCAGTCTCCCTTCAAACCGTAAATATAATCTGATAATAGAGAGATAAAGGGGATGATGATGATAATTATGATGATGATGATGATGATGATGATGATGATGATGTGTAGGATGAGTATTTTTTATGTTTTATTGTCACGGATTCTAATGTAAACTTTCTTTAGAAAATATATCTTATCTTCATGTGTATTCCTCCCCTGGTATTTAATCTAATCTTGTACAGCTTGTCTCCTTAAAATATAACCTTCTTGATTAAGAATAACTTTAAATGCATGGTTAGAGGTCAAAACGTTTTAGTAAATATGTCACAAAGATAAAATGAAATATGAAATTGCAAAGATATTCATCACAATAATGATGTACCCCAAGAAAAGGTAATGGTAATTTAATATTGTACTTAAATGGCATAAATAATATGAAATTTATGATGAAAAATATTTTGTAATCTGTCAAAATTGTCACATATAAATATGGATATTTTTTAAATATTTCATTTGGCCAACAAGTTAACATTGAGCCTGAAACTGCTCTGGTGGCCAAGTGGTTAGGTCGTCTGCCTCAGATGCGGGAGATCGTGGGTTCGATCCCGGTCGAGTCATACCAAAGACTTACAAAAATGGTACTAACAGCTGCCTCGCTTAACACTCAGCATTAAGAGATTAGTGTTAGGACTGGTCGACCTGGTGTCAGGATAATGTGACTGGGTGGGGCATCATGTTACATGTCTGCGGCATGATGCCCTAGTGCTAGACATCACGATAAACTGCCACACTGCAGACATCGTAGCGATATGACTAACAAATTGTTAAAGCTACTTTAAAAATCATAATCACATCACATCACATTGTGGCTGAAATTATGAAATGCCATACTTTTAGAATGCTCATGAAACATTCCGACTGATCTTAAAACCTAGAAGAGACTTGAATTACGTTGAAAACATAAAGTATAATATGGTTTAGAAAATGTAAAATATTTTTGTGTCAGAAGAGACATTTTAATACTTTTATCACTGTGAAATTTAATATGCAATGATAAATGTTATTGTCATCGAAGTGTTTATATAAGGGCGGAATTCAACCTCAGTGGAGCTTCAAATAACACAATTGTAAAAGATCACAAAGCATGTGACAGCCATGTGCAACTTCCTTCAGGTTGCGTGTCGGTAAGCGATGTTTAAATCCACACCGGATGATGTCGATGTAACCGGATACAACCAGGTTGGGTTTTGCATTACACATGCTTATTATGTGAATGTATAAGGTCTTTTCCGACGGAATATCTTTACATTGTTACATTATCGTGTTATAAGAACGGGTATAACATTTTTAGGATTAAAAAAGCTGTGAGAAACAATCCCTAATTCGACATGAAAAACTGAAACATAAAAACTGGACATTTTATCGAGAACAAACATAAATCATTCAGAGAAAGAGAGAGGGGTTGAATTGGTAAGCTGAAGCCAGTACTCCTCACATTTTTACACCTTAAAATAACAAGCAGACCTACATTTTGACATTATTTAAAATATATATCAAAACAACGATGTGTCAATCACTTAAAAGGAACAAATGAAATTGACTTTTCTCTTTAAATTTCACGTTTAGTGTTATTGTGACATAAATGAAATGCTATAAATAGCACATATTTTTCAGTTTCAACTACAAGTTAAATAAAAAATATAAAAACTTTTTTATCGAATGAAGTTTGTGTAAATCAGATTTAATAATCCATAATGCTTTCTGGTGTTTATATAAATACATCCCATATAAATATATCCTAATTCATTTTACTGATAATCTACTTGATCATTCGGTTGCTAATCGTGACAATAAAATGTCAGATACAGAGGGACGTCGGTCACAGAGTATGCACTCACATACAGTAGGCCAAAATATAAAATAATTGGTGGATTTTTCGGGCGCAAATTAAAACACTATATCCCTAACGTTTGTTAATGTGTAAGTACGTCAATAAGATTTTCACCGTCTCTATCAACGACGAGGTAAATTCGCTAGATATATATCCTTATTTGGGGAAATTAGGTTGATCTCTACTGTATACAGAGCCTACACATGCTGATTCTTTTTACTCATTATCCATTATGCTTATATTTTACAAAATAAAAAAACAGTTTTCTCTCTCTCTCTCTCTCTCTCTCTCTCTCTCTCTCTCTCTCTCTCTCTCTCTCTCTCTCTCTCTCTCTCTCTCTCTCTCTCTCTCTCTCTCTCTCTCTCATCATTTTAATTCAGCAATCTGTAATTCATGCATTAGGTTAATTTATAGAAACGACTACTCACTATCACAGTTTCATTTGCCGATATTAATCTATGTCCGCCGAGAACACATTATTTTTCCCCCTTAATTAGTAGCAAATGTGGAATGTTTGATGTTCTAAAACAGGTACAGTTTATTTTTTTGTATCGAGACCACGCAGAAGATGAGATATATCAGCTGATTCGTTCCAAGACATGGCAGGTGTTATTTGCTACGTATTATCTAAGAAAACAAAACAATAATTAACATGGAGAACAAACTTGGTCACAGTCTGAAACACACACCCCTCCTGTGCAGTTCTGAAATATGAACATAAAGTCAAACACTTGTAACATACTCTCTGATAATCTTGGTTTGCTTCTCAATATATCTTTTGATGGAGAGAGTCAAAACACTTTAGGATTGTTTTCTTAGGGCGTTTGTTTTAGGTTACTAAGACAAATTAATAATGTCATAAGTGTATATAGCATTGTATATCACCAGCGAATTATTATTTTGCAATTCACCAAATCTAGCGAAGTGTAACAATAGTGATCAACACAGACAAGACAATAATTCACATGCTTGCGTCAGACTCGGTTGCGAGACGTTGCAGGTTAGAACCAAGGCCGAATCATACCAAAGACAAGAAAATGGCAATTGAAGCTGCTTCGCTTGGCGCTCAGCATTAAGAGTTAGTGTTAAAACTGGTCGACCTGGTGTCAGGACATGTGATTACGTGAGACATCATGCTACATGTCTGCGGCACGAAGCCCCAGTGTTGTACATCGTTATAAACTGTCACACTGCAGACGTCGTAGCGATATGACCGAAAAATTGTTAAAGCAACGATACAATCTCTCTCTCTCTTTCTTTCTCTCTCTCTCTCTCTCTCTCTCTCTCTCTCTCTCTCTCTCTCTCTCTCTCTCTCTCTCTCTCTCTCTCTCACACACACACACACACACATACTCACACACGCACATATATATATATATATATATATATATATATATATATATATATATATATATATATATATATATATATATATATATATAAATACACGCACACGCACACGCACACGCACACACACACACACTAAAACACAAAATGCGTTTCATCATCCAACATAGTTTCATAGCGTATAACACATTAAACATGAATCATTTCGCTCAGGAAAAACGTGTAGCCCGATTTATATTATGCAGACACTTTAGTTTCCTTATTTTCCTTTCTCTCTGGCACTTTGAAGTCCTTTGCATCTTGTAGCATTATCTTCTTGCCAATTTAACAGACTGGCTGTGAACACTTCTGGTTCTTTCGAGTAAGAAATTCTCTTCGACCCATTAATAAACTCCTAATTATATAAACAGTTGATTCACTCACAATCAATAACCACAATAATTACATACAGCTAAATGGCATCGTATTTTTTTAGGAAACAGTGCATGGGCCAGTTATTATATACCTTATCAGTGGAGTGGCCTCAGTAACACAAAAGTGACTATTGAACAAGTTTTCCACTCTCATATCAATGTATCAGGTCCTACAAAGTATACATCAATGGGATGTCGCACCAATTATTGTTGCATGATTCTAAATCATTTAATAAGTCGAAAAATGGCAATGGCTGATGCTACATGCATATTCGCTTGCTTCTTATATAATGCCCGCTTCGTGTTTCGTTTCGGTTTGGTGGGGAGGGTTCTCCCCAGATATCTCTTCCAAACAAATTGTATGTTAGACTCCGGATATGAAAATATTGTTTTGGATCAGAGTTTTGCCGTTCTATTGGTATTGCATTGAAGAGGATTGAGGTTCGGGTGGGGTAGGCGATGCAATCAATTAGTAACAATGATTTATCACTTTTCCCTTCAGAGTTCACGAGTTGGTGAATTCTTCATATTGCTTGCATAATGGCATGGACATAGCTTTACACCTAACTGCATAATTTATGTTAGCTGTCGCACTGGGTACATAATTGCTTATCCTGAAGCCAATATGATTGTCTTCCCTTGATCTGGATTTAAACCATTTCTTAGCATCACTGATTTCGAAGACTTTTCTTTGTAGTTTATTTATTTGCAAGGCAAGTTATGTGATATTCTTTTTTTCCAATGTCACTAATATCTTAACTGTTTCACGATAACTGTATCCCAGCTGACAAAAGAGAGCAATTCAAGTGGAATGCATACAAGATAGAAAGCCATTTAGTTCTATCGAACCCCTACAGTTACTGACATGCTGATTGTACCGTCCATAGGGAAGTATACGGAATTTAATTAATTGATTGTTTCATTATACGTACTAACGATATTTGTACAGGACATTGGGGAAGAGTCAATAGATATATACCGATTTTAGTATTCACTGTTTGTAATGGACGCAGACGCTAATTCCATATTTGTTATAATATTATATATATATATATATATATATATATATATATATATATATATATATATATATATATATATATATATATATATATATATATATATATATTCTTTAAAACAAATCTTATTGGGTTTTGTCAAGCTCGAAATTTGAAATGGCCAGAAAAATAATGTCCTCTTACATACATGAATTAGAGGGACTAATGTATAAGTATATTGTTATATAACTTTTTTCATTAGTTGGATGTGTTAGAACTCATGTCATATAACTATGTTCTTCTTGACTTATTCATGCACAACATAAATATTATACACATAGTCGATCTTGTTAATAAAATGCTTTTATTATGGAAAAAGAGTGAGGATAGTAAGTCCGAGGGACCAGTGGAGACAAAAGTACGTGAAGATTATAATTAGACGAGGAGCTTTCTTTTTCAATAAAGATACATTTTAGCTTAAAACTCAACAACTAATACTAAAATATTCTGCCACATAGGTAACCTACAGACAGTTGTCTTCAGCTCTTTGAAAAACATTATTGTGTTAATTGCGGCCTTCGTTTGCTCATAAAACTGTCTTTGAGTTTAAAACTGTAAAATAGCATACCGACATTTGAACTTCAGTCTTATAAATTTTTTTTACATTGAATTCATCCAAAAGGTCCAACTTCTTATTGGATATCCATCCCTCCTGGAGGGAAACATATTAATCAACCTTTATTAAAAAAAAAACAGCTTTTCGCTTGTATTCTACTTAAGACTAGATGACACCCTCGGTGGTAATAAAAAGATTTCTATCGACGTATGCATCCGTATAAAAAAATAAGCTTTAAGCTGAATATCGTTGAAAAGAGAATTAAAAAGCTCAAGGGGATCCTTTGAAGTAGAGGATACACAGAGTTACATTTTAGAGGCTATTAACAAATCAAAAATCTTCGATAGAGCAGC